CCTATTACCTGTAATGTCCTATTACCTGTAACAGATGGTTAATATTTTTGGACAAGGCCTTTACCGGCAATAGGATAGACCCAAGACATAAGGACATCAGATCGAAGCGGAAGGCCTTTGGGACATCTTCTCCGTTCGATGGGTCCAGTGGATGGAACACACGTCGATGTGCGGACATCCGACCGAACGACTGCGCGTGGATCACCTGCCAAAACCGTTGAACTATGATGGAAAAAGGTTAAGCTACTGTAGTCGGAAACGGCTTGGGAGCCGGTGTTTTCAGGTGTTTCTCCCTAAATCTCCTTAAGACAACTTGCTTCAGAGTCTTCACCACGTGGGGATTTTGTTCAGTACAGCCGGGGGCGGGGAGGTCAATCCGGTCCCACAGGTCTAGCAGGACGTGGAACGCCCCTCAACGTCCGATCGTTGCTTCGTTTCGACCGATCGGCTGCTCCTGAACCGGAGCAACGATCCGGAGCGCCCGTTCCAGCGCCCAGATGAATGGGACTGGAAGAGTTGCCGATCGGTTGGGGTCAGAAAAACGGTGTACATGTATACTAACGTACTATTCAAGACATGGGATGGTTAGGGCCATGGATGGTGTGGGCATGGATCCTTCCGGCTAAACCCCCGAACTGCTTGGGGGGGGCCCTGCTTGTTCCGTGGTGTTGTTCCTCGTGCGTGTTGTTCCGTGTGCGTCATAGACGCCTACCCCAAGTGCGATAAAGCCGACTCACATATATAGTTTATGGCTGAACCTATACGCATGTATAGCTTATTTCCTGCACGTTTGGGTATAGGCAAGAAGCACACGTTGATCCTCTCCTATGACGGCGAGCTCTATGCGTGTGGTTGTAATGCTGAAGGAGGGGCCGGATGACGGACGATGACGCGATCGAGACCGGGCACCGCATCCTTTCCTTTGGACCAACATGGGGGTGTTCAGGGTTCAAGGTATATGTAATGCCCAAACGCTCTATGTATGCCATATATGCCTACATTGGGGTGGTGCCAGGGGGGTCATATATTATTCCATACATGGAGTGTTTGGGATGTAGATTCTTGATCAATAACCCGTTTACCTTCAGTTCGTGACCTCGAACTGGAGTGTCTAGCACGTGACACGCAACTAAAGGACCTTACGTCATGATGTCATCTGGGTCGCTTGGTCGCGTTGAAGGGTCTTGGGTGAACATCCCATGTGGGTTCTGTCGGATTTGATCTACTCTCCAAGTCATCGACGGAGTTGATTCTTCACCGTTTGCGTTGTAGAGAAGAATTGTCGTTTTCAGAGATGTCCAATCTACTTCCAGGTTTTCCAGAAGTTTTTTTTTCTACTTCCAGGATTCTTTTGAGTGCATTCTTGCACTTCAGTTTTCTGTCCTGATCCTGATGGAACAGGACAGCTGGGCAGTCGCGCGTCGAGTTCCGACGGAACTCCGGTGGATGTGCCGACTCGAGTGAAGCTGGAGGTGGAGGGGACATCGGACAAAGATTGCCTCCCGGATCAAGAGAGTGGCTTAGGTCCGGCCTCCAGTGAGGGCCTCGCATGTGAGGGTGCTGAAAGAGTGTGTGCCAGGGTCATCCAATGGGTGTCCAATAGACAACCTTACCCTACTTACAGGTCTCCATTGGGCACCCGTTGGAAGTGCTAGGTGTGTGTGTGTGTGTCCAACCCTGGACAAAGGGTTTTCCACCACCACTCTTTCTACCCTACATGAGCAGGGGGGCAAGGCCTCCGGCGACAAACCTTGCCCAACGAAGCTACGTCGCTGGAGGGGAAGCACCGAGAGACGTCTCGGTGTGTACCTGCTTTGAACGCAATGACACCAATGGTCCGCCCTGCTGCTGTTTCTTTGTTTCCATGGTTCTTCTTCATGATACCCTCCCACAAACAGGTTTCCCACTGTTCGTGAGCTGCAGCCGGCCGCTGACCGACGTCAAGTGAAACAATCGATGTTCAAACACTTCCAAGTTGTCGGACTTTGCGCCATGCTGTTCTATCGCCTTCCTTCCCAACGTGGCAATTGCGTTAACTGACAACCCAAGTTCGAAGTGTGTGTGTGTTAGTTGTCTTTTTCAGGGGGGTAGTTGTTGGTTCTGCTGGTGAATGCGCTTGACACAGGGGTTGGAGGATGGGAGTTGGTTCACAAATCTGAACGAACCCCGGGAAATCCAAATAAACTATAACCGAGACGCTCCATATATGGTGGTTTGAGGGGCCAATGCAGGCATATATAGCATACATGGAGCGTCTGGGTAACTATGAAACTTATAATTGTAACTACTGCTTTGAACCGTCTTGTCGTGCCCGGATCGCATAGCAGCTGCCTTTTTTCGGACCAGGTCTGAGCTTCACACCTTTTGAACAGAGAGGCAATGCTCACCTTTTGGGTAGGCTTCTAAAACGCGCATATATTATGTCATAATACATACTAAATCATTACTGCAATTGATATACATATAGTAGCTAGCCCAGGATGATGATTTAACCAACATAACTCAAGTTTGGTAGACTTTTGGCGGGGGTTGGCATCATATATGTATATATCATAACAGCATTATATAAATAAAATTCACTGTAGCTATCTATAGCGTGTCAAGGCTTACCAACATCCACCCTGCAAAGCCCAAAGTTCAGGACAGTGTCCAAATGCCTTTCCAGGAGGCAACAACAAGACGGAAATCCTATGACTGAAGCTGCAAGAACATATCCGTTTGCCCTATCAATCCAGCATGGTCGGAGTTCTGTATGTTCCACCTGGAAACCCAAACAGGCAGAAGGAAATGGACGTTTCTCCACTTCCTATGTGAAGGATCAATTTTAACTGCCATATTGGAGCCACATGTTTTTCTGGTTGGTCGCGTGGTCGCGTGCCCGGGGAACTTTACAGACTGCCCAGGCATGGTGGTGGGCTTGTCCTCCTGCCATGATCACACAGTGGCTATGGTCATTTCGATGCCCAAGATCATCGAGGAGACCAAGATGATTCAGGGCAGGCGGGGATGGCGGAGGTCCAGGATGTGGGAGAAGTTGAGCAGGCATGCGATGCACCATAATTACACCAGCATAGACCCAGATCCCACGACCTGTTGACGTGGGACTGGCTCGAACAAGATGTACGCAGCCTGCACAGCCAGCTTACGGCACCTCCACACCGGCACCCAGCACCAGCACCAGCACCAGCAACCGGCAACCTGTCTCCACCACGCGCACAGCCAGCACCAGCACTGGCACCCGGCCAGCAACCTGCCTCCACCACGTGCACAGCCAGCTCACAGCACCAGCACCAGCACCGGCACCCAGCACCCAGCACCAGCACCAGCAGCCTGTCTCCACCACGTGCACAGCCAGCTTACAGCACCAGCACCTGCACCCGGCAAGCACCAGCACCAGCAACCTGTCTCCACCACGCGCACAACCAGCTAACAGCACCAGCACCGGCACCCAGCACCAGCGCCAGCAACCTGTCTCCACCACGTGCACAGCCAGCACCAGGAACGGCACCCGGCACCAGCACCAGCAACCTGTCTCCACCACGCGCAGCCAGCTGACAGCACCAGCACCGGAATCCGGCACCCAGCACCAGCACCGGCACCCAGCACCGGCGCCCGGCACCAGCACCAGCAACCTGTCTCGAAAGCGCGCACGGGCAACTCATTGTTATTTGAAGTAGGAACCCCATAGCTTCGCTATCTGGGAAAAATTGCAAAATGGCATGGATCGGAAAAACGCACGAGGACAAGTAGTTGTTCTGCAAACTGGCCGAGTAGTATTCAACAGGGCACTGGCGTTCAATCAAGTTTGGGGTTAGAAGGGTTGGTGTCACGGGGGTATAGCAACCAAATCGCCAACAACTTTGACGCGAAAAAGGCATGGAAATCCAGCGAGACACGTGTTCCAATTTGTTTCCAGACAACTCCCTTGGGAATGTGGTTCCTGAACACCTTGTGCTCCCAAGTTGGTCCGGACTATTGCCACTGCCCCTTTTTGTTTTAAACCCCTTCAACCCCTGGTCAGATGGTCACTCTGACTAGTGGCGAACCCAGCCCAAGATCCGTCCCTTTTGGGGCCGATTGTTCGCCAGCCAAACCAAGCCAGGCCACAAACTTCCGCCTCCACCCGCGATGGTCGCCGCTGGAACGGCGACGCGGCCGCCCACCAACCCTTGGACGCGGCGGCAGCGGCGCGCGCCAACCGTGCAGCGATGTTCATCAAGACGATGAACACCATCCATGAGGACGGGGGGCGGCTCGTGACTCGTGACTTGGGGCGTTGATGTGCATTTATATATCCCAAGCCTAGACGATCCATGGGACAGCACATATTGCCTACATTTGGTGGTTTTTGGTGGTGAATGTAGGTCATACTTACTTACATGGATCCTTTGGGAAATGGTTGGCAAGTCAAATCTTTTTGGGGTGTCCCAAAGTACATGCAAATTCCACTACATCAATACTCGTTGGATAACTTTTCTATTCCCTTGCTTCAGGCTCATGACTCATGTCGTGCTTTGTAGTGAATGTGGGCCAGAAAGGTTGATCTACCCAGGAACATGTGTGGGCAGAAAATGTGCAGTCGACCCTCCTAAGGCCCTCAGGCAGTTGCTCGGAAGTTTTCAGAATGATCCCGCTACCAGATCAAAGGGCTCCAATGGTGGTAGGCTCACAACATGCAAGAGTGGAAGATAGCTTGCCAAGTGAATACTGACTGATCTGCGTTGGGACCCTAGGGGGCCCAAGAGCAAACATATGAGCAGATTTTAGGCTTTCCGTGCTTGGGATGTTCGGATGGCAAGCACAAACCTACCCCAGCAAATCCAAGCAAGCTCACTATGTCGCTGGTGAAGATCAGTGGGCAGCTCGACTCCAACCACTTCGACCAGTTCCGAGGTCGGTCACCTCCGTTCGGTCTGGCCGAGTACCGGATCATCACGTCTTCATCAGGAGCTCCCCCCTGCGCAGCCTCCGGACGCCTCGCCCGACCTCTCGATGCCGCCACGGCCCTCCACGGGGCAGCGGCACTCAGAGGTCGCCTCACCTGGATCCGGGGAGAACGGCACCGGGACCGGGACCGAACGGCTGTGGTCATTGGTGGTCCAGGTGTTTTTTTTTTGGACCCGGTTCTTTTAAGGGGTGAACTTATGAGTCTGAAAACAGGGTAAGTGGTTTTGCGGTCGTATTCTATTCAGAAGTTATCCTCATGTCCTGTGCACAGTTCCTGTGCCTGTGCCCTGTGCATCTTCAGAACTGGTCCTCCTTGGAACCCTTCAGATGTTCCTGCTTCTTGAGTTGGACGAGTACAGCAGGTGAATCCCATGTTCGCATGTCCAGAACTGTTGAATTTTGATTGACTGTCGGCTTCGTGGATTCTGGGTGATTTGCTGTAAAAAACAACTCATTGACCCACTTTCAACCAATATGTATTTTGTCACTTTGTCCAGTCCACCCATGTTTTCCCAAGTAGCCATTGCTGTCTATACACTCCGACGAACAAAATGGAACAACACCTGTTTGTAGAGGACAATGTTCTTCACAGGGGCCATTTTCCACTTCCGTGTGAGTGAGTCAGAGTGCATGCATTTTAGACGCAAATCCCGCCCAACCTTTTGGTTTATATGACCTACATTCATCACCAAAAACCACCAGTCATGCAGGCAATGTAGGCGCTGTCCCATGGATGGCCTTGGAATTCAGTCCCGTCGTTGCTGGTACAAGGGCGGTTCTGGACACAGTGACCCCCAAAACGCAAAGAGCTTGACGGCTTTTTGTGGGATGTTTCGGTTCATAGATAGTTCCCAAACCATCCATGTTTGGAATAGAGACTGTACCTACATCAGAGTCATACATGGCGTATATGTAACTATTCGATACATAGATGGTTTGGGATTGGAGGTGTTTTCTTTCTTGTATTTTGTTTGTTGGCTGGTGGCACCAGACGGGCCCTCCAATTGATACTCTTAAGGGATTAAAGCTCTATATATACTCATTCCAAGTGCAATTCTTGCATATACCTAGAACCTGTTTGACCCCTTTTTTGGATCCAACACATGGTCTTTTCCTTTCAAACCAGAGGTCATGTAGCATAGAACTTAGGTATTTTTGGTCACTACCCTCCCGTATTCAGTGGGAGTAGGTGATTCTCCCTAAGGCTCCTGTCCCATATCCTCAGGTTCGGTGGTCTTCGACCCCCCCCCCCCAAACCACCCACCCCTGACCCATCGAACCGAAACGGAGGTGGGCTGTTCGGAGCCCTAGCGTCTACTCACTCTCCTGACCCCTCCGAGGTCCTAACCTCCGGCTGCACCAGCCGCGTGGGTCGTTCCCCCCGCGGTCGCATCTCCGTGGCGCTCCCGCGTCTCCGCCGGACGGGCGCTTCCGGAGGCGGGAGCGGCGTCGGGGCGGAAGGCCGTTTTCGGTTCCCCAAGAGAGGTTGAGTGACCTTATAGGGCCGGAACCTGGGTGACGGCTGGGTGACGCCGCCCAAGAAAGGTATCCAGAACTTCTGGGGCCGGAAGCTGGGGTAATGACCGGAGACCAGTGACCGGAACTAGACCTGGGATGAGGGATGTGTTCAATCGTAGGATTGATTTTTCAATATTGAAGATTGAAAAAATAATCAATATGTCTGATCAATATCGACCAATATCACGATCAATATCAGTTCTCCGTGCGGCAGTGTGTTTGTGAGGGTGTATATATGGCCTTGATGTTGACCATGGCTCAAGCCTACACCTCTCGATGCTGAAGGCGCAACAATGCAGGTGACGGCTGTGTCTGGCAACACGATTGCTCAGCTTGATGAGGATGAACTGCATTACTTGGTGGAAAGTGGGCAATCTGTTCGAGACCTCAAGAGACGTCTTTCGGCTCAGGTTGGGTGCTCAAGGTTTCAGCAAAGACTCTTCTGTGACGAACTTGGAGAATTAGAGGATGACTTGGGTCTACGAACACTGTCAAGTGTCCAGCTGGTTATTCTGCCCTTTTGTGCCCCTCATGAGGCCATGGAAAAAGAACTGCTCACAAGTTGCCAGGAGAATAATGTGGCTCACATTGAAAGGCTGCTTCAAAAGCCAATGGACCCGAACGGGGATGGTTTGGTTCTTGCTGCCAAGGAAGGGCACTTGGAAGTTGTGCGATTGTTGCTCGAGGCTGGAGTTGACAAAGATGCAGCAGATACAGATGGCTGGATGGCTTTGCACATTGCAGCCCAGGAAGGCCACTTGGAAGTTGTG